TCCTCTCTCTCTCTCTCTCTCTCTCTCTCTCTCTCTTTCTCTCTCTCGCTCTCTCTCTTTCTCTCTCTCTCCGCGCTGCTCCCTATTTTCGCTCGAACGTTTCGATCGCCGTGGCTCAACGACAGAGGGGGGCTTCTCGCACTTTCCATCCTTTCTCCTTTTTTTTTTGTCTTTCCCCGTTCCCGCACACGGTGCGCCCCAATGCTCGACATTTTATACGAGCCGCGGTGCATTGCGCAACGCATCTTTATCATTGTCTCGCGGCACCGTGACGAACGCAGTTTTCACGCGCTGTATCGGCCATTCGATCGGAAGCGTTCTCTCGCTCGCGTCTATTCTTTTTAAAATTAATTCATTATTCCAGTTGAGACAGGTAGCATGCCATCACCGTGTAGCTCGCAATTTATCTCGATGTAGTCTAGTTAATGCCTAGTTAATCGCGATTGTAGACGTGATTAATTTTTGCTCGAACATTCTTTTGCAGTAGAAATCAGAAATTATAAATAGCCAACGCGGAGCTCGTCGATTTATTAATACAGTGAGTAAGAATGCCAATTGTATAATTTCGCGGCCATTGTCGATATTTTATCGGAGCTCTTTATTACATTCATCTCGGTTAAACAAGCTGCCTATTGTTATTACGTAATTGCCAGCTCGAAACAGATATGGAAGATTTTCGAAGACGCACGGAGATGTATAAACTTGATATGAGATCAGGTAAGTAAATTGTCGTCGCGTAGATGAGCGGCGCGATTGCGTTCGGCTACTCTACGACCTGATGTTTTGGAAGATTTTAAACTCGAAGAATTGATGAGGAGATAACGTAGCTACGGAGATTACGCTCGTTCGAGCGTGCATCAGGTACGCGTTGTCATCAACTGCATGCGAGCTCCCACCTGTTTTGTCGTCGGCTTGCGGCTTGCGGCATGACTTTGCCGTCGCATGCGCGCCGTATCTATGAATAAATAGATTACGCTAATCGTCTGCATTACATCATAATACACGGAACTATCTGTCGATGGCGAGATAGCCGGCAGACCTTGATCCCCCGTTTTTCTGAAGAGACACAGAGAACGTCCGTTGTAATGCACAACACAAATATCGTCGGCAAAACAAATATCAAATATTCTATTAATCCAATATCACGATACTTAGATTTTTTATTTTTTAATGCATTTAAAAATAGTAAAAATATACTGAAATTCAAAAAGGATGATGTGTGATGTTCTTTCGGAATCGAAATATTTTTTCGTCTGATTTTTTCTCTTCTTCGTTTTTACAAGAATGAAAGATAATCTTTGATTTTTTAAGAGATTATTTTTTAAAGATCTAAAAAAATTCGTATAGCCATGCTGGTTACATAATTATATCGGACTTGCTATATTCTTGTACGTTTAAATGCGATTGACAAGCAGATAACGCGATTAAAATTTAATCAATGCAGTGAAATGTTTTATGATCGAATGAATAAGACAAATCGAGAGATTGGATCGATATTGCTCGTAAGAGCGTAGATCGTTTAAGGTCGTTGATAGTTCAATACTCCCGGACTTGGTGCAACTATGTATTACACGCCTCATATGTGATTAGCGTACAAAATTATGCACTCCTATGCTAGCGCAACTTTCCTCATTCCTTCGAGTCTTGAAAATATGTATAAACCCCGCTACTGATAATTAAATGATCGATTATTCAGAAGATAATGATTAGAAATTTCAACGATAATTTATCAGGAAATTAAATCTCCTTCGGTTACATAATTTCTTCCTTACGTTTCAGATACGTGCATTCGTCTGACCTTTTGTTCACTCGTTCTTACTCGAGATATCGGAGAAATTTCACACGCTTCATTTCGGCGATATTTTTGTCACATTTATGAAAATTCTTTTCTACAATTATGATTTCCTTCGATAATAACGCTGAAAATATCTATCTAACTTAGCACTCGCGATTCTCTTTCAGAAGTTCGTGCTCCACGGTTTATTTCGGCGAGATAGGCACGGGTTCCGGGGTGGGAGAGCTAACCGCCGCCTCGGCGGGGGGTGGTGGCGAAGGTCTCGCCCCGACTCCAACCCCCGCCAGCAGCAGCAACAGCAGCGGCAGCAGTGTCAGTACCACCACCACCCCCAGCAGCCCGAGCGCGACCACTACAACTACCACCACCACCTCCACCACCGCCGCCTTCAACAGCGGCACCGCCACCATCCCACAGGTTGCAACGGGGGCTGAACCGCCCCAGCACATGGAGACACCCCCGACGATGGTCCCCGACCAGCAGGCGCCCGCCTCCGGCCATCACTATCACCATCGCCATCATCATCATCATCATCACAACCATCACCATCATCATCATCGACACCATCGTAACACGTCCAGCACGGCTAGCCATGGACCGGCGACCGACACCTCGGACGAGTTCGCACCGGTCTCCAGGAAACGGAAGCTTTCCTGCAAGTAAGTTCAATCGTAACTTTTCGAAGGAACTCGGACGATCCCGAAAGGATTACAGACTTCTTACGTCTTTCAAACTTACAAACGATGCTAAATGAACTTGCGGCGAATCGTATCGAATCTTATCTCTTTTCTTTTACGTTTCGTCAACGCTGTGCGATTAAATATATTATATTGTTAATTAATGAGAAATTTAAGGCGTGTAAATTGAGAAGTAAATTATTTATAGATATTTTTCAAGATTGTAACGAATAAGGCTGTAAGCTATCGTTTGTTCAGTTTATGTATAAATCTGGCTTCGATTTTTAAATATTTATTAAGAGAAATTGGCGAAAATTGACGTAAACTTTTTAGCGTATCGCCATCGGCTGCTTTTAAATGAGAGAATAAAAGAATAAGAAATGAAGATTTTATCGTTGTAATACGGAATCGCGCGCCATGTGGGACGACGATTATTTTGTCGGTCGCGCGGCGTTCGAAAGCGAGCGAACGCACGACGCTTAAGAATTCGGTGACGACGGCAGCAAACAACCGTTTTGCTTTTCCGGTACAAAGCCGCGGGTTCGCACGTAGGTAGGAAGTCGTATCGGAATATTACATATTAGCATGGTGTGCGTCGCAAAACGAAGCCCGCCAACTGCATCCCGCCAAGTCTAGAATCTCACGAGCCGTGCAAACAACTCGCAGCAACAACAACCCCTCGCCTCCCCCTTCTTCGTCCCCCTCAGTCTTTATCCAGCCACTCGATACTCATCGATGTCGGTGTTTCAAGATGTTTCGCGCGAGGAACGCCGATAGTTTCCCAGTAATTACCCGATCAGAGTGTCGGGCGCGCAGTCAAAGGGTCGACTGCGTCATTCATAGAACGGAAGATTTGCCTCTCCCCGGAGACCGTGGCTGGTCGGAATTGCCTCCGGCAATTATCTCTCCGTTTCCCGGAGAGATGTGTGCCATTTGTACGCAGCTCTGTACGTTTATCAAGTAGCATTATTGAAAAATCGCAATTTTCCGCGACGCGACGCGACGCGATTATTACGGCCGATCGGTGCCTTTGTCCATTCTGTTTACATGATCCGCGCGTCAGAAAATTTTTGCCTCGTGTGTGAGTTGAACCGGAGAGGTAAAGTACATAAATTATAACGTCGACATTTTACTGCGACGATAATTTGTAAATATGCAATCAGAGATAATACGCGTGCTCGACCTGAGAATCCGATCTCGTCGTTATCAGCATTGAATATAACAACGATCGAAGTGCAACGCGTGCGTGTTGTTTTTTTTCTTCTTTTTTTTCGAAGGCTAAATGTTTACACGCGTCTCGTTTCGCGAACGAATCTCTCGGCGGCGGAGAAATTGTGTCGACGAAACGTTTCCTGTCGCGGGAAACCCGCGTGCGACTTTACGAGCTCGAAGCACAAAAGAAACGGGGAAGCTCTACACGGACGAAACTTGACGAAATTCGCCGTCAAAGGGGTAAACACCCTCCGCGAAGGTCGCGCATGCCGAAGAAATTGTTTCTCTCTGATAGTTCCGACCAAATTTAGTCGCCGCGGTGGGATTTCGCCAATTAAGTGTCTAGATTACTGGGCGCGCGTAAATTAGCGTTACATCTCACAGACGTGGGACGGAGGTCGTATGAATTTAACTATCAAAGTCCTCAAATTGACCCTTAACTACTGACTAATATTAACTCGTAACTACTAACGCGGCAAGAGTCAACAGCATCGAGAAATCTCAGGCTTCTTACTTCTCCCTCAATTTTCTTTGAGCGACTTTTTGAGATAATGTTAATTACCTTTATTTGAGAGAGCTAAAACGCAAAAAGTAAGAGAGAAAAATTGTGTGTGAAACTATAATATCTTTAATTACTTATTCATTTTTTTGTACAAACGAAAGGCAAAGTTCATACTCTGACGTTTGAAAAACTACACATATCTTGCTAAGAATTACATATAATTTGTTTGTTAAAATTTATAATATTAATTTAGGTATTTATTTCGTTGATGCATTATTACGTATATATGACATTTCATTTTTTTGCATAACGTCGCGTATTGAGAAACGCATTACGTCTGTTTTAGTGTTGGAAGCAATCTCTTGGATGACCTGAAAGACGACGCCAAATCCGTTCGCACAAACGACGACAGTAAGAAGTAAGTGAATGAATCGTAAACTGTTGAAATAAAAATTCGCAAAATGGCGCATCGCGATTCAATCAATTCGAATCTTTAACGTAATATCAGTTAGCGCGATTACCTTTATCACGTAGTATTATATCAGATATTGTCAAGGTGAGCACCACCTTGACCTACCTCGATTCTTTGCTTTGGCTTCATCAGTGACGTTACTAATCCAATGTATTGTGCCGCTCAGTCGTTCGATTGTGAAGTATTTCGCGTCACTTTAACGCATCACATTCGCCCATTGCACATTAATATTAGTTTAAGAATTTATTTAGACGTAACAAATATTTAAAAAAATATTAACAGATATTTTCAATATATGAAGATGTTCTTAAACGTCTTTTATATATTTTTACAATTTTTTTTATATTATATTAAATATACAGTAGCGGTCAATGAAATGTACTCATCGAAATTATTGTTTTCTTTAAACTCTGAAGCAAAGTGCTGTGCTAAATCGTAAAATTTATATTAAATGGCATTATTAACGACCCGTAATTTTGATTAGAACATTTTTGTTGAATTGTTTTGATATATTTTTACATATTTATAAAAATAGGACAATATACAATAGAAACAATACTTACTTAATAAATTTGTATTTCACACGTATAACAATAACAATTATTAATATTTTTTAATAATTAATATTTTGTGATATTTGTGATTTTTCACTTTCGGTCATTTTTCGGCGATTTACCATTTTTATAAATACTGCACGACACTTTTTCAAAATAAGTGTGAACTTGAACTAATTCCTAGCTCGTGTTTATCTATATATATCCAAATAAACTTAATTTAATTCTTCCCACCTTTACAGTACTTATCAAAAACAGGTTATTTCGAAGAATCCTGCTGAGTACATTTCATTGACCGCTATTGCATTTGGCAGTAGATTTTCATAACCTCTTAAAATTCAGAATACGTGCACCGTGCATTCTACAGACCCACTAAGTCAGATATAAAACTTTGCCGGATATTACGATACGTATTACGATATGTCCTTAGAATGAGAATATAATTGCGATAATAATCCGATGTGAAGTCGATCGAAACCAGTTTTGGCCGCCGCAACGATTTCCGCCGTGCAATTTATCCCCCGCGTGCGGCATGAATGCGAATTCTTGGCAAATCAAGCGGCGCGCTTTTGAAAAGAGCGTCGTTTTACGGGTTGTATTGTCCCCCTTCTCCCTCCCTCGTACACAACCGACACATGTCGTTGTTGGGATGCACGCGACGAACCTGCTCGGACCCGAGCTTTATAAGAAAGTCAGCAGACGTTGATTTAAAACGCGCGTGGACCGGCGTAGCCCGATCCACGTGGATCAGACCTTTGCAAGAAAAATTCGCTGAGATCGGCAGGGAGTACGTTACTACCGCTACTACGTCGTTCGGTATCTCTGCACATTCCGGTTTTGTTTTCGTGTTTACAACGGCGATGGCAATGGGACGCTCTACACGTGGACATTTAATTCCTCGAACTTAAGGTGGAGAAGATACAGAAATAGAAGATGTAGAAATATGAGAGAGAACCGCTAGCGATCCTTCTTGAAAAGATTTAGAAATGTCGAATTTAGTCCAATGATTTATATATAGATATATCCGATTTACATAATTTTTATATTTATATCAATGAAATTGCATAACATTTCCCACCTGAATATCATTTTATGCAACTACGAAAGGTGTTACGTTAAACGAGCGAAAAATTCTCTTAAGTTTCAATTTTATTTCTAGCTTGTTAATAAATTTATCAATATGTGACACTCATAATATTGACTACATATTTCTCCGTCACGGTCGATAAATTTTGTAGCTAACAACAAACTCGAAGCTTGTTTAATTTCATTATAAATTATAGGGCTTGTTGAGAGATCAAGTGTAAATGTAATAAATGTCATACTTCTATTTTTTGTCCAAAAAAATGGCAAATTGTAGCGGTACTCTCGTATTTTTAGACAGAACCACAGTGAAATAGAGAAGCGCAGGAGGGACAAGATGAATACGTACATCACCGAGCTCTCGGCAATGGTGCCAATGTGTTACGCGATGTCGCGGAAGCTAGACAAGTTGACGGTGCTGCGAATGGCAGTGCAGCATCTCAAGACTATCCTCGGCGCGGTTACCTCATACACGGAAGGTCACTACAAGCCTGCGTTTCTCAGCGATCAGGAACTCAAGACGCTGATACTTCAAGTAAGTCCAGTCTGAACGGTACTTGCATAATATCCATAAACGGTGCTATTAAAATTATTAAAGATATTCATTTTTGACAACAATTACAACTATCAAAGTTTGCATTTGAAGTATAATCGAAAGTATTAAAAGACTTTCTGCGCAACGAATAATTTCAGAAATAGAAAAATAATGAAGTCTTTTGACAATTATGCGCACGCGTGAAACTTGAATTTTTACACAAGTATGTTTCTATCAGTAAATTATATTTTTGTTTGCTCTGTCGCGTCATTTTTCGTGTTTTGTTCAATTTTAAGAGTGATTTCTGAGTGCGATTGTTTACGCGCGATAATTCCTTTCAAGTGAATTAAACGATCGCAAGACCGGATAATTCACCGAGCTGTAGTTTCTAGTATTTTAATTTGAAATTTATTTGTGGCATACATTTTTGCACGGTCTATAGGAGGCCGTTGGTATCTTTTGTAATCCTTTTGCACGAGATCGAGAGCGGAGCGAGAAACCGGCGTGTATATAACTCCCTTTCTCCCGCTACGGATTTTTTACCGGAGTTGGTCTCGTGCCGGCGAAAGGAAAGGTTTGAAGCATGTAGATTTATAGTATCGCGTTAATAGTATCTTAGGCCGAGGCGCTCTCAAATCACCTACGCCTTTAATTCCGAACCAATTAGCGTGAGAGAGGTTCCAACTAGTAGAATGTGCGTCAATGAACAGAATATTTTCTTTTGTCGTAAACGAGTCTGTGCACGTTTCTACATCGCAAACCTTTGAATTTTTGCGCAACATATTAAATTACCTTTCAAATTTTTTTTAACAGAGTAAAAATCCAATACTTGTTTTCATATTAATGTAATATAAGTAATATATCGTTAAAATTCACTGCAGTACAATTTTGAGATGAATTTGGATCTCGATATTTTAAGCGCATAAAATTCATAATTCGTGACGATGAAGTGTACACTTTGGAGAAAATTCGAAGCGTCTATTTTTTTATGAAAATTACATCAATACTAATCTCTTCTTTTCTGCTTGTGTAAAAACAGATATTTCCTCTCAAAAACCGATAAGACTATCCACCTTACAAATTCCATTCTCCGTTTGAATACATACAATTCGCGCTGGTGTCGGACATTTCTAGACATTTCTCATTGTCATGTATACGTGGCACATACGGTTTTATCTTTTATCGGGGCTTTCTCGCCCGTTCGCGCTCGCCGTAAGAAAATATCCGCGAGTGAATGACCACGCCCGGCATACCGAGTCAGATCGGCTCCGGTCCAGGCTCTAAACGCGCATAATTGCGGCATAAAGCTCTCCATTGTGAATCGGTAACGTTTATTACCTCGCGAGATCCGGCTGGGCGTTGCAGGACCGCAAAGAACGTTCGGTTTTTTCACACTTGTAACACGCAGCAGAAATCGTTAATTGTCGATAATTAGAATGGGCATTTAATTCGCGATGAACGTACGCGTCCGTTGCGCTCGCAGTACCGAAGTATCCGCGGAGAGAGCTCGGCTTTTGATACTTCCATGACGTATTTGAACTTTACGGAGGAGAACGTAGGTGTGCAAATAATATAACGGTCGTAAAGAAGTAAACGCGAAACTCGTGTGCCGCGCGCGTATTCACACCGCGCGTATATGGAAGTACATTGACATTAATGAATGTTACATAGCGCGATCGACGATGCAGTATATCGAGCCTTACACGGTTAGGCAACGCCGGCGTTTAGTCGGCGCAACGATAAATGATATCGTAGTATTTATATCCACGGAATATCGCGCGAACTATTCGGCGCGAAATGTCGTGCACAGGTGATATTTTTGCGACTGGCTGGATAAATGCGTGAAACGAAAAGTCAATCCGGCTTATGCCGGCTCAGCGCGATGTATCCCATCAAAATCCCGTTTGAAGTACTAAATCACTAAAATACTACATTTTGCAAAAGAAATTCGCTAGCTTGTTTTGTCATCAAATCCGGGGACAAAATATCAATGTTATTTTTCAATTACTGAAAAAAAAAGAATTAAAGCCAATGTGACGGAACAATATAGCGGAGGATATTAATGTTATTAACAAAAATGATTAAATCCGCCTTGAATCCACATTTTCCGAAATAGAATTATGCGTCGTAAAAAAAAAAAAACGCGCGATCGCTATTTTCGAGAAGCGTGGATTCGGGTCGGCGCAAGCTCTTCGATTGCAATTAACGTTTGTTATTTGCATTAATTGCATTTGCAATTAATCTCCACAGCGTAACGGAAAGCAGCTTGTCTTATTTCAGGCCGCGGAGGGCTTCGTCTTCGTAGTGGGCTGCGATCGTGGAAGAATTCTCTACGTGTCCGAGTCCGTCTTGCAGACTCTCAATTATTCTCAGGTACCGGATTACGTCGCTGCTCTTAGCTCTCGGATTACGGCCGCGCTTCGAAATCTATCTTGGCGACGCGGCGTGCGAAAAATATCGACATTGCGGCAGTGGAGTTTTACGGTGTTGGGATTTACAGCCGCGTGCATACGAGTCTCTATCTCCGTCTAATGGTTAATTAATTGCGCTGCCTCGTGCCATCGTTAGCCTCTGTCCGGGGATAATGTTTGCGATACGAGTTTATTCCGCTGATTATGAATTATGACTTGGAAATTATGACTTATGTATTTATGAATCATTTGATTGGCAGCGATTCATATTGCCATTATACTTATAATTCGCGATTTGACTAGCCATTCATCATTTTTGCATTTCTAAACGCCGCAGAATTAGGTTTTTGTCGAGGATAATTAAAAAGAAATAAGTGCCTACATGAACCAAACGAGTGAGTTAAAGCGGGTCCTCTTCAAAAATTTGTATGACTTTTTTATTGCATTGATTAATATTTAATATAAAATATTTCATTGATTGCCAAAATATAAAATAATAATTGATTAATGAAATCGATAGATAATTCGTCATTTTTTCGGACAAAACGTTAACAAATTCAAGATTTTACAGCAATAGCCGCTTGCATATTTACCGATATTATCGGCTTCAAGTTATTGTCGTATCGAGGATATTTGCGCTGTTGCAGGGTGACCTGTTGGGTCAAAGTTGGTTCGATATTTTGCATCCGAAGGATGTCGCCAAGGTGAAGGAGCAGCTCTCATCCTCCGATCTCAGCCCGAGAGAGCGACTGATCGACGCGAAAAGTAAGTATCGCTGCAGCCATTCCGTATCGTCACGCGTCTTAAATCCGCGCGCGCGAGCGATGATTTTTCCGACTGCGAAGACTTTCCATTTTCGAAGCTATTAATTATAGCACCTTTCAATGTTGCCTCATGAATCGATCATCGCAAACGCAAATTATTCGCTGCGCACATCTCTTCCACCTTCACCTGATAAATGTCAGTCGCTCGACAGCATTTTGCTCGCGTAAGCTCCCCCGATAAACATCTTTGAATTAGCCTGCCTACTGCCAGATAAGAATATTGCGAAAGTTTCGCAAGAAACGAACAAGACGAGGAGTCGAAGAGTTGCCGAACGGGTCTAATGTCAGGATTCCTCAAACATTACGTTCGCGATGCGATCAAAGTGTGTTTTTAGTCTCGTCGTATTTTAAAACATTAGTAATGACGTGCATTAACGTCGTGCAATAAAGTATTTTCGCGGTGAGGAGAACCGTAAATCGAGATCGGGAGAAAGAAGGAGAGGCGACGGACGAGCCGATTGACGATCGAATGATCCTTGCTGTCATCGTGATTGTTTTTCAGCCATGTTACCGGTGAAAACTGACGTGCCGCAAGGTGTGTCGCGGCTTTGCCCCGGCGCCCGGCGATCTTTCTTCTGTCGGATGAAGCGTAAGGTCGACGGGGTGCGTTGCGAGGAGATAGAAGTGAAGGAGGAAACTGACACCACGAGCGGCTGCCACAAGCGAAAGAAACGGCAAAACGTCGGTGAGTACGTGAATTCGCGTGAGCCGACAATCTCGTTGGCAAAACAGAGTTTTTTTCGTATCGCGAGATGAAAGAAGAAAGCGAGACTGAGATTTTTAGTCGATCGTCGCAGAGAAGATGAAAAAAGTTGTCTTGCAACTGCTAATTAATGCATCTTTTATTTTTTTACAAAAATAATTACAAATAAGGCGCGATCTGAAATGCTCTCTCGATATTACGCAATCGTTTCTTCTTTTTGCGAGAAAGGATTCCGACTCGTGTCTTCTCTCCAGTAACGAATTCGAACTTCTTTCAAGAAGCGTAGCGCCTGGTGATGCGGAAAAATATGAGCGACGAAAAAGTACGCACAGCGACTCGAAGTTTTCGAATGTCGGTGATGCGATGCACACGAATGTCTTTTGAACAGAGTCGCACGCACGATCGGAGAAACAGCATGAATATTTGCCGCGTGGTTCGTCAAAAGTGAAAAGTGTGAGACTGTACGTAGTATCGCGGTGGCCGGTGAAAGGGGATCGCCGATATATCTTTATCTCAAATATCTCGCCGGCAAATCATAAACCTTTTCCTCATCCACGATTTCATCTTTTACGATTCCATATAAAATACGTATGTAATAAATAAAATATTGATGAAGTAAAACGATGCGTAAAATGTGACATTTGGATTCCACCTCGATTGCAAGGTAATTAAATCCGCACGCGTCCCTCGATGTTTCAGATTGGAAGTATTGCGTGATTCAATGCACGGGTTACTTGAAGTCCTGGGCGCCCGCGAAGATCGGCCTCGAGGAGCAGGAGGGCGAGGCCGACGGCGACGCCTGCAATCTGTCCTGCCTGGTCGCAGTCGGCCGGGTTCAAACGGTGATATCAACGGCCGCGCTGCCGTCGAAGAAGCCCCACTTGAGGCCCATACAGTTCGTCTCGCGTCACGCGATGGACGGCAAATTCCTGTTCGTCGACCAAAGGTATATTCTCGTGCCGTCGAGCGGAATAGCCGTCGCTCGAACGTGTTGTGCGCACACGACATTATGAGAGGATGATTTTTCTTCGTCGTTTAGAGCTACTCCAGTATTGGGCTTTCTACCTCAGGAGCTGCTGGGCACCAGCATGTACGAATACTATCACCACGACGACATTCCTCATCTAGCCGAGTCTCACAAAGCCGCGCTGCAGACCTCCGAGCGCGTTACTACGCAGGTAATTCAAATAAATCATCGACTATCGCTTGCAGCCTTCTCTCTCTCTCGGTGATAATCGAGCGTAAAAAAAAAGAGTTAAAGTCATTAATCGTTAAAATTGCTGTGTGACATCGTCGGTGCGCACACGTGAAGTGTGCTAATACGCTATAGAATGCTAATAATGCACGGTGTGTCGTGAAGACAATCATTTGTGAAAATATATTTTTATTTCTAAACGAAAATGAATTATCGCTTTCGCAGATCTACAGGTTTAGAAGCAAGGGCGCGAATTTTATGAGGCTGCAATCCGAGTGGAAGTCCTTCCGGAATCCGTGGACCAAAGATATCGAATATCTAATCGCCAAGAATTCCGCTATCTTGTAAGCAGCGATCACGGCGGTGTTTCACATTCCGCGCGCGATAACACCGTATAAAGACCTCTCTGTTACTTTTTCAGCTGCGACGCGCGTCCGGGTGGAAACAACGGATCCGAGGACTCGAGCGTGCAGGGCAATTACGATTACTTCGCGCAGAGTAAGTAGCGATTTGGGGCGCGTTTTTGCACGACGATTGCGCGAGTGTCAAATGTGCAGTTATTAATTAAAGATTAATTTTTTAGGTAACGGCGCGTTAGAAAAGTTGATCTCGAGTCACGTGGAAGTGAGCAAAATCGGTCGGCAAATAGCGGAAGAGGTGCTGGATCTGCAAAGACGCGGCGAAGACTCTTCCTCGGGCAGCAGTCCCGGTCCAGGGACGGAACCTGGTTTACTGAACATCGAGGTGAATACATCTGGCCGAAGCTGCCGGCTGACTGATGTTTTTAATTATCCTCTTTTTTTTTTTTTTTTATTAAGTCACAAATCACAACGACGGCGTCACCGAGGGGCTGCCGGACGTGATACAGCCGGGCGGCATCGGCAGCGACAACAGCAGCAGCGATCCGACGTCGACGTTCAACCATGTAGTGAACAACGTGCAGCTCAACAGCATCGCGAACGACCAAGGTCATAGCTATTACTGTCTCTAAGGAGTCGTTTCTTGGTGTGTAGTGCGATTGCCAAAATTACTCGGAGAAGAGAGAGAGAAAGAGAGAGAGAGAGAGAGAGAGAGAGAGAGAGAAAAACGATCGAGCGAGACTCGCGAATAGAAGAACAGTTTCGCTAGTGTGGCGTTAAAGAAAATAAAAAAAATTTTATCGATTTAATATGATTTTTCTTCGCGTGCGAGAGATTACAGCTGACGGATTGATAGCCGCACGAAGTGTAGCGTCGATTCTGTTGTCGGTAGGAGCACGATCCGCGTGTCGATATTAGCGATATCACGCACAACGTAACATCCACCTCCTTTCAGGAGCGTCACCAGACGGGGACATGATGGATATGATCGGCGGCACCGCGATTAACGAATCGTCGAATCCGATTCCGTCCGATGGCAACGACGAGGCAGCGATGGCTGTCATCATGAGCCTGCTGGAGGCGGACGCCGGTCTGGGCGGTCCTGTGGATTTTTCCGGATTGCCCTGGCCGTTGCCGTAGTGCATAACACATTTTAGTCTGCGATGTGAGAATGCGAGGATTAACGAACGCCCGCTTGGCCGAACAAAACGCTTGGAACTACCTTGGTGCTGAAATGGTGCTTTTAAGGAATAGGACTCCGTTAAGTTAAGCGAGCAGTGGCTTCCGAATTGCGATCAGCCTGGTTGACAAACGTTCTTCCGAAACGGGAAATATCCGTGGATTCGCAGAATTATATAGCTATCCGTTTGTCGTCAGTCTTTTCGGCAAATTTTTTTTTTTTTTCCCCACGACAAGGTAATTCGTGTTCAGCAACGAGATATGTGTGAACGTTAATGAACGCCCTCGAAAATTAAACGCTAGTGACAATGGTGCGGACAGTATCGTGCGAACAATAACTGTATTTCTGTGACAAATTGACGTTGTACGTGTAAATATACGTAAGCACGCGTGTACGTGCGCGTGATATGACGTTTTAAGTGTACCTAATTAAATTGTAAGAATATTCGTAATATTTTGAGAGAAAAACTCTCAGGGGCTGAGAAAACGTAATTGATTCGCGCGCGTTCGCGTCATGATAAGTCGCGCTGTTCCGAAGATGTGCCGCGTAAATAAAAAACATAGACCGCCAGTGAATACGAAATTTTCCGAGATAAATCTAGGATGATAAAAATACGTGTTGTGCTATTGCTCGCGCCATGTATTCCGCGCTTAGTTCGTGCGAGGCACGAATACGAAGATTTACGATGAAACATTTATATTTCGATATATGCATTTGTATGCGTACGTCCCAGATTTGAAAGAGAAAATTGCAAAATATTTTTTACAATCGCAAGAACCATTGTCAGCGTAAAAACAATTTGTTCTACTGTTCAACCAAGTGCGGCATTCATTGTGCGAGCGATTACATATCAGTTTTAATAGACTATTTTGCATTACATAATTTTAAAATCATGTCAAAAACATGATATGATTCTAAAACACGATATGAACTGAATAATGATAAATATTAAATTATGTTAGTAATTATTTTTTTTTTTTTGCTTCAAAACAAATTGAAACGAATATTGCAATTGAACAAAATACGGTAATCGTCGAATTTTTCAAAATTTGTGATTTTTAAAACTATCGTGTAATGGCTTTCAAATTATTGATCACTAATGAAGCGCGAAAGAATAGCAATCATGAATTACGAATAATCTTTAAAATAAACTTTTTATTCACAAAATCCAATGAATCTGATAAAAGATCTGATCCGTTCTGCAAATGAATATCTGAACCACCTGATTAAAAGTGGCAGAGTATATTTATTGTAAAGTTTAATTTATATATTTTTTCTCAGAGTTAATATTTTATTAACTCTTCTGTCATTTAATGTCGTTCCCAGTTTAATCATTTGTTCAGATTTTCTTTCGCATGACGCACGCGCGCATCAATATTTGGACCTTTGAAAACATCGTAATAATAAATTTACGAGAAACGCGAATAAAATGTGGCAAAATAAGAATGTAAATAACATGACACATACAATTGTAGTTTATTGTCAAATATTAAAAAGTGGAATGAGAAATATTTACAAGGCATCTTATATTTTGGCCATCTAGCATGATCAATGTTGACAAAATCTTTTATATGTATTCGGGCTAAATTTCTTTCTTATGTACAGTACGAGAGACTATTATTTACAATGACTTACAATTATTTAATTTAGAATGTGCACTAATGTAAAAACTATCAAATGATATGTCCAATTCGCGATGTTCTATCGACGTACAAATCCAATTAAAATCAAACATAATTAACGGCGTTAATATCCACTAAGTACAAAAACGTTGTTAAGTGTTTAATAGATTGAATTTTCCGAGACAGTTGCAAAATTGACATCCAGTTATAATAGTCTATAAATATCTGTATTTGTTGGAATTGATAAAAGAAAAGCAAGACTAAAATAAGAAAAATTAATTGTTTGAATGTGAATCTATGTATAAAATTCAACTATGTAACGATGACAGTGCACAGTTTGAGCTTTAAATGTCCAAGCCCGATTTACAGAGTACACAATTATGTGTACGTTAAAACAATTTGTATCAAAATCAATAAAAGTGTTTTTATGTTTTGTATCACATATTGCTATTGTCAGTCCTGTACATAGTTATTTCATTTTATTGCTAAATTCCGTATCAATTAAAATTTAATTAAATGAATTAGAAATGCATTCTTTTATGAAAAATTGTTTTTATTATTGAACGCTAATTTGTTATTAAGTTATTACAAAAATAATTACATTATTACACTTCCTTTCTCTTTATCTAGATTTTATCCACTTTTATCGCCGAATGAATCGGCCAAATAGTTTGATCAGTTAGAAAAATTTATAATTTGTACCAAGTTATATTGTACAAGTTAGCGTTAAATAAAAATGATTTTTCATAAGTTTATGTATTTTTAATTCATTCGTCTATATATACATCAGGTTTTTCAATCTTTACTTTAACAGGAACATAATCTTCCACTTCCGATTCTGATTTTAACCTTTTCATACTTTTTTTATGTTTCTTGGATATAGTGACTTCTGAAATACTTGCAGAAAGATCGGCCTCTAAAATACCATCTTTCCTATCTTTACGTTGTTTCTCTTCACATTTAATATTAAAGACAGTGTTCTCTATCTTATTAAACGTTAATTCTTTATTATCTATAGTAAATTCAGCATCTGGATCACGTTTTTTAACATGTTTCTTTTTCTTTTTTTTCTCCGTTTCAGAAATATTATCTAATGGGACAGAACTTTCTCTTTTCAAACTTTTATTTGACTCTATCTTCAAACTGATTTTGTGATTTTCATGCAATTCTAAATTCCCATTTTGGACCAATTCATTGTGATCATTAAATATTTGATTCTCTGATTTTTCATTAATAATCCAATCTTCAACAGGATCAGGATTCTCTATTTTTATTTTAATACCGCAATCTGGTTCTGAATCTGACATTGTGTGATAAAGAATCTTAGATTTCTTTGTATGTTTCTTCTTCTTTTTTCTCTCTGGTTCAGTAACACCGAAATCTGACAGATTAGCATTTTCTGTTTTTATATCTTTATATGACTCTATATTCAAATTGTAATTTTCAGTAGTATCAGTAGTAACAGTAGTATCAACCACATCAGTAATATTAATTGTGCTATCAAGCAATCTGCAACCTTGTGAATAATCACTGTTTAAAATACCGCATATAAAAGGTGGCTTACTTATGTTATCTATTTGACGTATGTAACATTTAACTTCTTGACCAATTTCCACCATATCACCTAGCCATTCCTCAGTATCATCTGGTTTCGGAATAGATACGGTATATGTTTTATGAACTAACACTACAATATGATCCAAACCTTTCTTATTCACTATACCTGTAAATCAGAAATTATTATAAAGCTATTTGTAACACAGTAAGTATATGTAGTAATTATAATATGATAACTAATAGAAATATAATTTACCCTTTAAGAAAGATCCCACTGTAGGACGAAATAAATAAAAATCTGCTTCCACATCAATGTGAATGAAGGGAGAGTCATAAAATACCTCGTTAATCGCAAGCAATCCAGGATTTTTGAAAGCTAACAGGAAGCCTTTTAGCCTGAAATATAAAATTGTTTTATTAAATTCAATTGAAAATTTCTCAATGTTTGATATTATTTATCAGACAAAGTAACCCTAAAATGTGTTCTAAAAATGAAATGTGTTACTTATACTTTCTATAATATATTAAGTATTTAGTTTTACTTGATATTTGTAAATATGCTGTATACAAGTTACAAATTGATAATAATAATATAACTTAAAAATTTTAATTAATAAATTTTAATTTCTTTTTCATTGTATTTTGTATTTTTAAACAATAAAATTTAATTAACATTTAACAATGTATGTTTTAAATATAAGAGACAGAAATTTCTGCATGCTGTTTATATAAAGTATAAGATGTGCATGTGTTTGATGTCACGTACTCTTTGTCATAATTGTTCAGTGATGATTTCAAAATTTGATTTACACCCCGTTGGACATTGTTTAAGTGATACGGATGTAAAGCCATGTGCTTTATTGTTCTTTCAAAGTGCACATGGGCATACTCTTCTTCTAAGAGTTCGCCAAGTTCCAGAAAATCCCACGTTACTTGGTTCGTTTGTGCATCCATTTTATTTTGCAATCACACAATATCTTTGGCTGCGATACTTGAAACTTTAAGAGCGTTTGATAAATAATACGTTATATAAAAGGTATCTCTTTCGAAAAAGGTTATGTACCATCAGTGTCAGATTTGAGACGCAGGAAGCAAACTGAAGCAAACAGCATGAATGGAGGAGACACATGCGTAAGGTACATACGTACATGTGAGCTCCGCGTTTTAGACATTAGAAAAAAGCAGACGTATGAGTTTTGGCTAAAATTTTAACCAGTTATTTTATCCATTTTATCCAATTATTATTATTTATTTGACTTTTGTGGCATTTACCATCGAAGAGATATATGCAACTATACGTAATTTTGTTGAAAAGCTGCCTTATAGAACTCTCATAAGCTAGTAAAAAAACAAAATACCTAAAGTTCGCTCAAATTGAATTGCGATTACGTTGGCCACACTGTACTTTTCATAATAAACAATGGATCGCATGTGTACACAATTTGCACAAGTATAAAATTGTTCATATTCTTTAATCTTTACTCCGATTATGATATATAATATCATATAAGTAAGTAGATAAAGAGTAGATTTAATATAAAATTTGTCGAAATTAAATTATTACTAATTATTGTTGAATCAGCAGCATGAATTCGAAGAAGATTATAACCTTTGGCAAGATAAGCGCTGATTTAAATAAATCAG